GGCTGCAGGATCTGTGCAGCATTTGCAGCTGTTATCAAACAGATTACAAAAATACCATGAAAACAGAGGGCAGTACTGGAAAGTTAACGGGAAGATCTCAGAAACCCCCCAAATTGACAAACTTGCAATTGCTACACTGCAGTATTACCTGACTACTTGCTTATTAGGCATGTTTTACCAGTGAAAGCCTTCTCCCAAATTCAGAAGAAATTACGTATGTATGTATGTACCACTCCTAACATTAAAAAATTTGAAGTACATACTTTCAACAAAGTACAGCTGTATCACTGTGAAACTAAACAATTGATAACACTAAAAGTCTACTGCCAAAATTCTCCTACTTGATGTCCAGAAGGCATAATTTTAAATACAATCCATTTTCAAGCCACACAACAAAAGTACTTCCCAGCTTCAAGATCGCCCATACTTTGAAGATCACTATGTCTGTGTGATTTAAGATAAATGGCAGGGCTTTGAAATCCCTCAGCAAGGCTATTCATCCATTTTCAGACGCCAATCTATTCTTGCCTGCCCTGTATTGCCTTGCATCACGGACTAATTCTTAAACGAATATTTGTGAAACTTCCTAGATTTTTGTGCAAGTCTACAGCTGTGAGATAAGCCAGAGAAAGCGTGCATGAAAAAATCAGAGGGACATATGAAGTAGATAGGAAAAGAGAATTGAAGATTTCTGAAATACTTTGGCAGGTCTGAGATCCAGACACCCTTCAACATAAGGAGTTACAGTTTTGTTAGTTCTGAATCCCATGTGCTCCCACTGAAGGTTCTCAGCCCCACACACATACCCATTTGTTGGGCACTAGTTAAAGATGGTAAAAGCAATTCCTTCCTGTCCCATGCCTTTTGGGGCTATCCAAAGGACAGAAGAATTAGAAGGAGGGGAAAAGAATGTGTGAGTCAAAGATGATTTTTAATTTGTAAATGGCATTTGTGAGGCTGATGTTGAAATGCTTCATGCAATTCTGTTATCCAAATTTTAAAGAGGTTATTAGGGGTGGGGGGGTTCAGAAAAGGTATAAAGATAAAGGAAGTGACTCAGAAGACAGGAAGATACAGACTGGGAGACTCAAGCTTTTTAGTTTACTTAAGATATCAACATGATTTGATTGTAACATCTAAGAAGTTCCCACAGCAGACCAACACTAGATACTAAGAGGGGTTCATGGAGTGATGTGAAAGCCAAAGTAATTCAAGCTAGAAAGATTATTTTTTTTAGCAGATGGGAGAACAAATCACTAGAACAAGCAATCATTGGAAGCACACTCTTGAGCCCACTAATCAAGGCTAGTGTCTCCCAAGAGATTTACCTCCATTGAGTTACTGGGCTCTGTACATGGATAACATATTAAGTTTATACTAAAAGGAGGCCAGACTTAGTGATCTAATGGCCCCTCTTAGTCTTAAAATCCATAAATATTTTAATAGAGAAGTACAGTGTGCTGTGATGTGACTGCTTGTTATGCCTCTGGATTCAAGTCAGTTGACCAAGTACATTCCTGAAAGATACATAGGCTGGGTGAGGAATATAGCAGCCTTCTATCACCAAGCAACACGGTGTTCTTTGTGTCGTATGATTTTCCTCTCTTGTGAAACATTATACATTAATATCAGTCTGCACAGTGTTTTCTCAAAACAAAGTCACTAAAATCACTATTGGGATATAAGCTAGCAGAAGGGATTGACATCTGCAAGTTTGGGAGGCATTTGAGATTTTCACCAATCATCTGCTGTTTAAACAAAATTCAGTAGTTGTATGTAGTTGAGAGACAGTCACTAATTCAGTCTGCCTTTTTAGCTTTTACTATTTGACAGCAAAGAAAGAGTTTAGAATCTGAAATTCACAAATATCTCCAGAACCATTCCATCCCCTCTGGAGAAAATTAAAGCTATCCATTTCTGGTAAGGTCCAATGCGGATGTGAGCTTTCACAAAATTTAAGGAGGTACTTATGCAAATAAGTAAACAAAGGCTATCACTAGAAGAACAGATTACACAGCGAGGACAACAGATTACACTATAAGTCCTGTTTATTGTTCATATCTGTATTCACTTTTACCTATGGTTCTATTAAGAACTACATAGAATGATTTAACTGAAGTATGTTAATAGCATGGGACTGCATAGCAATTCTGCTATGAAATCTCTGATGAGAAGTATAAAACAGACCACTCATCTCTGCATATACTGGGAAATATCACATAGAAAAGCACAGATGTAGCGTGGTTCTCTTGCATACGAAGAGTCTTACATTATAAGCAGGAGCAATAAAAATCACTGCTTCATTGCCTAAAAGAGTTCTGTATTACAATACAAGCATGTCCTGCTTTACTTCAATAAAGTTGAATCATATGATTCCCAGGGAATTTTATCCATATTTTAGGAATGCATATCATATATATATTCCCTATATAATAATATTTACTTGTCCACACATTCTTCTGCACACACTCACACACCTAGAGCACCTAGAAATGGATAGTATTAATCACAAACTCTTTTATATCACTATCATCTACAAGACAAATGGTGTATTTTCTCATGTATGCTCAATCAAAAAACTACCATCATTTCAGTAAATTGGGCATGTGTTCAAGGAGAACACACAACTGCCAAGGTAGACATCTCTTTCAATTCCAGCAGGAAATTCAAAGAAATCCCTTAGCTCATCAAGACTGGGCACCTATGACTTTAGAATTCCTTTACAGGGCTTTTCATACCAGCTGCGATCAACTCGAAATTACAATTCTCATAAATATTCATATTCTTGAATTATTTTCTTAATATTAACAGCAGTCATTTCTTATGATAGCTGTTATCCACCAAAGACGTGGATCTACTGGAGAAAGCACAGAGGCGTTCAACAAGTAGGATCAGAAGTCTACAAAACATGCTCTACTGAAAGAAGCGGGTTTGTTTAGTCTAAAGAAGAGAAGACTGAGGAAAGATATGATAACAGTCTTCAACTATGTAAAAGGTTGTTTCAATAAGCCTTCTTCATGCCCACAAGAACAGGGCTAGAACCAATGGGCTTAAACTACAGCAAATATGAGCTAAATTAAATATTAAGTAAATATTAAGTAAAGCATTTTAAGGAACACTGTGCTTTTCATTTTTAAAGCTCGCCCATTTAAAAAAATATATTGGGTATGTAAACGTAGCAAGAACTAAATTTTACTAATTAGCAAGAACTGTAGAACAAGTAGATGACAGATCCATTGCTGAGAACCATAATAATTATTCAGATAGAGACGAGGGCAGAATTATCCAAGGCTTGATACGGAGCAGTGGAACTAAACAAAACAGTCAGACTCATTTCTTTTTCTTTAATGGCCAAAAGCTGAAGATCTGTGCTATACAATCACTGGACAGCTAGCTCTCTACTTTTGCTTAAGGGTATTTCAATTTTCACTTTGCTGCTGGGTTGTCCAAAAGCCAGTAACGCCAGGAACAGAGAGAACAATTTGATTCCGTCAACAGGCTATTGTTCTAAGTGATAAAAACAAGTAGTGAAACAAGGCATACCTCTTAAAAAAGCGTTCTGGGTAAGAGGACTTAGTTCAGTTTGAGCACAAGGACAGAATTTCAAAATTCTAGAATTCTAAGAATAATTAAGATGCAGTTAGAGGACTCAAAAAAAAAAAAAAAGGCTCAGTGAGAGCTGTTCTCCCTACCTCACAAGTTTAAATAAATCATTCTGATGTTAATAACAGAAAAGCATTTCACCCTTTCTTCCTCCAGCCTTATTTATTATCGACTGCTGGCTGTAACCACTGTCTTATTCTTAAAATCATTTAAGATGAATCTGGAAAAGCAGAAATACAAGTAACTACTAACTAATCACTGACATTCAACTCATTTCATCAATGTCTCCCCTGGAGCCAATCTTTCACTTTTTTATTTAAAGCCTGGAAAAATTCTTGAGCTGAATGCTGGAAGTCTTATTTAACTCCCCTCAGTGGTACTCATGCGACAAAACAGGCAATAATCACACCTCGTGATATGAGGTAAAAACTGTTTCTCACTACGCTTACCTTAAAAAAAGAGCAACAGGAATTTTGTACTTGTATATCACCCAGAGATGAAAGAAGCTATAGAGATCTAAGTAAAGCGTAGCGCTTTGCGAGTTTTCTATTTGGAAAGGGAGAAATCTGTTTCATTTCCTACTCCAGTGTAAGAAAGACACTAATAAGATTTTCAGTAGAATCATAATTTCATCTTACTCTGTTTAGGAGATGTTGAACAAAACACCAAAGTAGCCATTCTCCAGAGTGACAGAAACCTTAGTCAAGAATCACCCTAGTGACAGTAGTTAACACTGCTCCTGTTAAGACACAACGCTCTACTCCACTGGACTTCTTGCACAGTACGCTTTTAGCCATGATATGACCGTGAACTGTACCATTCTGTATACAGTTCAGAGTTCTACTTTTCTGGCAAATACACATACTATTTCATAAATAAAACCTTCCTTTTCCACATTAGCTATCAAAAGACAGCTAACATTTCCAAGTAGTTGGGCTCTGGATGGAAAGTGCTCATGGAGCACTGAATATAGATTAAGAAACCATCCATCATGGATTAATCTTCATCTGACAGACAATTCTGAAGAAAAAGATGTTTTGAATAAGAACTTGTTCACAGAAAGGCGATACGCATATCTTGAAAGAGATGTCAACTTGATCCAATATGGATTTTTAAATTCGATTCCTCACTACCTCCATGATCAGACATACCGAAGCCAAACAGAATGTATAAAGGCTTTTTTTCCCCCTCAACAGTTATCTGGGACTAAACAACAACATACTCTATACCTGCCAACAGCATTCATCAAATGCAGTGCTAAAAATACATTGGAAAGCACAGCAGCTGCTAATGAATGTCCAGTAAATTTCATTCTCCTGGCCTCAGTCTGTTATCTCAAGGAGCTTCACAGTTTCCTCTGGAGCAAAGAGATGAAGCGATTCACTTGAACTTATTACCTTGAATACTCCTTTTGAAGAAGGCTTTGCAGCCCTCACAGGACCAGACCCCATAGTGGTAGCCTGAGGCATAGTCGTTGCACACAGCACAGTACCGCGTCTCCTTGGTGGACTCCATGGACAGGCTCCCTTTCTCGTTGGTGCTGGACATCCTCTCCCGGATGCTGTGGCGTCTGTTATCAGAGCTTGGCCTGTTAAGAACAGAAACAAACACAAAACTCTCAGAGGTGTTAAGTCTCATCCTCTGCTGAAGACTGTAAGAAAGAAGGGCAGTCTAGTTTTGAAGAAACAAAGTTACAGCAAAAGCTGTCTTTTATCACCCTCTGCCCTCTTCTAATTGAAAAGGTGTAGAACAAATAAGATAATTTGTGAGGAAAAAATCCTCCTGTAAGTTGATGTTATCAGGGCAAAAATCTCCTATCCAAAGGCTACAGCAACATCAGTAGGTAGTGTGAAAATCTGAGGCAAAAAACACTTAATGTTTGCATTTAGATTGCAAGCCATCTAAATTATTTCTCAGCCTATTTCCAAGTGTTATTGCACAACTATGTACACAAAGTTTCCTAAAATTGTCAGGGATACCCTATTACATAGAATTAATCCCTATTCTAATTATAAGACCACTTACATAAAAACTGTAAAAGTGTTTTTTCCACAATAAGAAAAATCAGAACATACTAAAAATTGATGCTGAAGAGTTTTTGGTTTATTAATTTGCAGGTCCTCATGTGCAATACACAGCTGAATGAAAACTGAACAAATCTATAGTGGAAATGGTAATGAGTTTACCTCTGGTAAGAGGTTATTATGGGTAGTTACTGCAGGTTTGGTAAATAGGATTCAAAAAGATGAGAGGATGTGCAATCACCAAGAGGAACAGCAGCAATCTCCTTTCCATCTCTTGCTTTCCATTACAGAGAGTCTGCACTGCAAAGTGCCTGAAGGACAAATACAACTGGGTGTGACATGAAGAAGCCTACTGTATATATTAATTACCTACTTACTATGCATGCTTTAATTGCTGATTAGTGAACAGGTGGCACTTATCTGCTCAGAGCCCCATCCTTCTCTCAAACAAACTTATTCTGTTTTTAAGCCTGGGAAACTGGAGGCTTTCCCTTTCAGATTCCTCCTTACATACCTAATTTTGCCGTATTCGCTCCTTCAGTGCAGTAAAACTTTGTGTGTTTGGATGAGCTGAGGCGTCTGGCACCAAGAGCACCTTCCTGCTCTAAGCCGGTACTCCCCAACAGTTTTCTGATGACTCGTACGCTCAACTGCTCTCTTTCACCTAGCCAAAATTCCCTGACATCTCCTGCTGCAGTCCATCTCAACTCCCAAAATGTTCCTATCAGCCAAAGCTACCTGGAAGCTCTCCCACATCCTGCCAGTCACCCCCTGGGGACACTTTTTACACGCTTTCTTCCCCAAAACATGACATATTTTCATTTAACAGCTTTGGATGTGTATCAGTCATGACAGAAACAAAGAAACACGTTAGCTAGCAGAGACTGTTACTGGCATGATTTGAGAAAGTTGCTTTTTTTAAAACCTAAGTTTCGTATTAAGCCTTATGTACCAATTCATTTTGAGCACTTATTTTAACATTTTTTGTTTCCTTGACACTTGTATAAGATAGAAGGAACTGCAAATGGTGAGGTCCTGACATGGCAAAACTCTGTTTTCTTGATGAAATCAGAAAACTGGGGGAGATCAGAATTCTGACAACTTAACAACCTAGGCAGAAAAAAAAATCCTTGCATATTTTAGATATTAATATGTAAAAAGATGAAAACAGTATCATTAATATACAAATTATTATGTATTTAACACATGCATAGTTGCATGTAACTACTTTTACCAACCTGCCAGACCTAGACAGTTTTGTTGTTCTTCTCCATGTCTTGAATCTTCCTTTGAATGTATTTTATCTCAGTGCCTCGTTTAACTGACTTCATTTTTTTCTGCTGAGCACTGATTAAAGCTGTTGTTTCTCATCTCCTCCACCCCGTTCCCCCTCACCTGCGGTTAGAACACCCAATCCATCCTCCCATCCTGGTCAACTTTAAATTAACCAAGATGTGCTTTAAAAAATAATAATGATAAGTTTAGGTGTGTATATAAATGCAAGAACATTTCAAACATTTAAATTTAAAAAAAAATGCAAGCAAGTAAAGAACTGTCAGTATACTTTTAACAGCAACATATTATTCTGTAGATTAGCTATACGTGACTACAGGATAGCTATCCATAATTTGAATCATGTTTTTCAAAGCTGCTACAAATATGCATGTTACAGAAGACACAAGTCCCACAATTGTTTTCATATCAAGAAGAAATGAAAATAAAGTACAATTTTATAGAGTCTGACTTTTAAAATATCTTTTAAAGAACAATCTATTAAAAAAAAACAGGGCAAAATGAAGAAAATGTCGAGTTCCAAAGTAACTGGATATTTCTGTGGACGTTTAGTACATTTATAACACTTCCCACTTAACAAAGCAATCCTGGCTGGATACAAAAGAAAACTTCTCAAGTAATAATGTAGAACCAAACAGAATGACAAAATACCAAAGAGTATCTACCAAAGAATATCAGTCACCACTCACATCACGTAATTTAAATTTCCAGCTTTTCAAAATACTGATTTTCATTCGGATCAGGACTACATTCACCAAGTCATTTTTATTAAAATTGCATTTAAGAAAAATGAAAAAGAGACTGAAAAATAGTTCTAAATAGCTTTTTCTATTTAGAACAGGTAAGAAATCCCCTGAAAAAATGTACCCGCCAAAGAGAAGAAAGATGTATAAAGACTACCGAGGAAGATGCAGTAAGGACAGAGACATGGTTTGTCGCGGCGCTTGAGGGGAGCCTACCCCACAGACTCTGTCCATCCTGCTTACGGAAGCAGGGCCACCTTCTCAGAGGAAGGCTACAGACAGCTTGCGGCAAGTAAGCGCACATAGGCTCAGTGGGGCACGGGATCAAGGAGGGGCAAGGGAGCAATGCCACTGCTCCCACCTGCCCGTAATGCCCCTGCATGTCTTGTTTTACTCCGACCACCACTGCCTTTCTGCTTACGCACGCTCAGTCACACGCTTGTTACACTGAAAGACCACAACAGATCTCTAATGCAGACCTTCACAAAACAAAATGAACCCAAAGATGGCCTTGCTGGCTTTCCTCCCCAAAAACCAGTGCCTCTCCAGCACAACTTTGAGGCAAAGTTTTGAAAATCGGCCTTGCAGAATCATCACATTCTGGCTCCAGGGAACCACAAGGGGAAGCAAATCAGAACGCCCCAGCCCCAGCCCCCCCAAGAAATAACATCCTGCCACCCCTTTCCATTTATACCAAGGAAACTTTGGATTATTGCAATCGTAGTACTTATTCGAGGAGGTGAAGAGGCAAACTTTTGGGAAAAGAGGATCCAGTAACACAGAGCTCGCTAAATCAAAGTACCATCTCAAATTTCATCCAGAAATCAGCACATCACAGTGCACATCACAGACCACTGATGCTGTGCATTGACAAAAAACAACAGTCTGCCCTCCCTCCAGTTTTCAGTTAGGTTTCAAGGGTTAGCGTGCTGAAGAACATATTGCAATAACTTAACCCAACTTTAATAACTTTGGCAAGACCATCCTACCCAACATGCAATGGCCTAACCTTTTCAACAATTTCCTTTGTAATCTATGCAAACAATAACAAGAAGAAACCAAAAGCCCGTGACAACTATGATTACCAAACAGAAACAAAAAATTGAAAAGAAAGAAAGCCCCAGATAACCCCCTCCCTCCAAAGCTCCTAGCAAAACAGACTAGATTAGAAAGTAAAAAAACCACAGAGAGAACATGATTTACCGCTCTTTTCTAAATGTAATAATACAGCAGACATTTAAAATGGAAAGTGTTTTGGAACCTACAGTGCAGGAGAAACTGTCTTCTACACTCACATTTATGTTTTCCACCTACATCCTATATATACGTTCACTCAGTTTTGGCAGCAAATAACACACCTCTGCTTTAAACGCTCACTAACTGCCAGCAGCTCTAAATCAGCTAGAGAGATCATTAACCCCATGTTGACTATAAAGTAAAAGGAATGTATACATGAGAAAATTAGAGTTTTGTAATGTAAATTCACATTTTTACATCTTAATATTTTGACTGGCAGACAGGATGAATTTCGACGATCCTAGAGTATACAATCCATGCAAGAGTGAGGTATGCACCAACTTATTCACAACCCCAGCTTTATCTGAAATAAAGAGATTTCATAGGTAGGTGAGATTAAGGTCATTAAAGTAAGAATAGTTGTTTAAACAGGCGAAGGACACACCTTGAGAAAGTCTAGTTTTCTGAATTTACATTCATACAAACAACTTAAATCTGCAGCTGCTAAACCTTTACAAAAACAGATTGAAGTTCTCAGAGTAAAAAGCCTCAAAACCAATATTCACTTCAAATGCAACCGAAGTCCTGTCTACTTTCTAAACATTGGGCTTACTATAACACCATTCTACTATTGAATATGAAATTATTAACTTGCTGTTAGAATGCGAATTTCCATCTGCTGCAAAATACTTAGGACAAATTATTTGGACAGAATTAAATGCTTGAGAATATTTAAAAGACATCTCACAGAGAAGTACTGCAATAGGAATGATTGGGTATACAAAGATTAGAAAATTGTGAAGTAAATTAAGCACCTCAAAACTGTACTTTCAGAAAGTAGCTCTAATGAATCAAAAAAAAATTGCAAGTTACCCAAATGAAAACGTTGGCTTAAAAGAGGTATTCCAAGATGTCCAGGGTTGCAATTACACTCCATATAACTCAAGGAAGGAGAGAGAAAGTGTTATATGGTGTTATATCTCAAACTGATAGAATCATGGAATATGTTAAGCTAGAAGGGACCTGGGGGCATCACCAGCTTCATCCCCTCCTCCACACGGGGCCAGCAGCAATGTTAGCTCTGCTGCAGCAGCCAGGGTGGGTGCTAGAACAGGCCCAAGAGCTGACAGCGCTCCTTGGCTAGGCAAAGCCAAGGCGCTCAGGTGCATCAGGTTGGCTCGGGCTCTTCCCTGGGACCAAGTGAGAGCCATCTATGGTCAGTGGCTCCAAACACGTTTCACTCACACAGCTAAGCTTTCTTCCTCCCCAAGACAGGGGGGCCTTATTTATGC